CAAATATAAAAGCGAGAACCTGAATGAAAATCATGTAGCTTGTATTATTATATTGTAATAGTATAGAAAATATTTTTGTTCAGAAACAGAAGATTGCTGTGAATATTCCACTTTTTAGGAGTATAAGGTAACCCAAAATGTGTTTGTCATTGGTAATGAAACTCATAAGAAAACCAACTACTGAAAATATTATTCGTAAAGCATACTATAAAGTGAAAGAGCTATTGCTTGACCTTTTTAACTAGATTTTTCTCTTAACTCAGAGAACATAGTGCTGAAGGGCAGGCAGTAACAACACAACTTGAAAACTGGTAAAAAGTTGCCATATAAACCCCTCCAAGTATATTTTTAACAAGATGCTCTTGATGGTTCAGTAAAACACATGCCAGAAGATCTGTCCCCTTCTAAGAAAGAAGCTAGTGCATGTACGTGTTACTAACAGGAAATGACTCTGGAAACAGATTTCATTTTCCAATTTTAAGAACTGTTTACCATAAATTGAACATTGAATTATCATTTCAAAAACTGCACTGACGGTGGGTTTTTTAAAGAAAAAACCACACACATTTGCGAGCATACGTTCTATCCTTAGAAAATAGGGATAAATCACTCTGGTGTCTCTTTTCTTTCCTTCACCTTTTAGGACTGAGGGGAGGGAAGGAAGAACGACATAAAACCGCCTTTCTGACTCCTATTTCAGCTTTGCCACTTGCTTGCCTTCTGTGCCTGGAAAAATGCAAAGGAGGCAACTTGTCCTGCACAGCTCATGGGATTCATCGGAACCCATTTCTTTGTAGCATTTCCCCCACCTCCAGATATGAACTCAGAGAGGGAGCCAAACTTTCATTAGCAGTAAGAGATGTATAAAGAAGACTGATAGAAAAACAGCGCAGTGGACAATGCCACTTGAATTAAGGGTTTAGCTTACATGACCTGAAATATCTTTAGCAACATTATCATCACTGCTTCTTTAATACAAACAATGACCTATAATAAACATCTTTTAATTACTGCCAGATCAATTTTTTAGAAGTTATAGTAACTATTATATAAAGAAATTATATTTCCTATCTGCCTACCAAGCTAAAAAGTATGTTTTAGACCTAAATGCATGTAGTGGGGCAAGAGGGAAAGAAAGAAAGTGCATCATTTAATATGCCCTAAAGATAAGATTAGGGACTGTGGAAAGGCCTTGTAACATTTAAAAGCTGCAGGTGAGTTAGAACTGTGATTCTCAGAATTTTTGTATTGTATCTTACCATGTTCCTTTTTTTTTTTTTGCCACATATCTATAAAAAAAGAATTTTAAGGATCTGTTTTTCAAAGAATATCAATACAGTAAATTGTATGTTAGAGCAGTAAATGACTCTAACTGAAATTGTGATCATCAAAGCGGTGTCCACTACTTTACGGAAATTTCTAAAGAAAAGGATACATTATGAACATCACATTTACTTTAGGATACAGTAAGCTGACACCTACTAAATGCAAGCAAGAATTAACTGAGACTCTTTGTATGAAGATGTTATCACTTCAAGTTCCTGTAAGTTCCCAAACGTGAGATGTAGACATGCTTATCAAAATTATCCTCTGAGGAGAAAGATAGCGTTTAAGACAATTAAAAAAACCTTGAACAAAAAATTATGGCAAATTTAGCACTAATCTATTTGAAGCAGCCACAAAGTTTAGAGTAGTAGGTTAGGGTAGTGGGAGTACTATGAGCAGAAATTTCAGGAAGACCAACACTTGGCACAGATTGAATGAAAACTGTCACCTAGGTGTCATTATTGTGCACAATTCCCTAACTCTGTTATGTCTCTCACACAGGTATATAAAACACTCTACTATCTAAAAAAACTAATGCTAGGGAAAATGTTCAAAGTTAAGTTCACAGCTAGAGTAATTTGCTGAATGCTATTCTAAGTGCTTGATATGAATTTCTAAGATAATCTGGACCTGACTGATCTCTTACAGTAAATTTTTGTGCTCCTGTGACAGCTTAAATCAGAAGATTTAATGAACAATAAACCTTGGTACTGTGAAACAGGCCTGAGTAGCCTCTAGTGATATAATGCAGAACAGCTGCTGCTGCTTTTATTTTGCTGGTGACCACTGTATTCACATAACTAGCTGTACCAAATGATAGCTGGAATTGTGTGTTTGTATTTTAAAATACAATTATTTGTGCACCATACTTGATGTAAAGATATTGTCTACAGCTAGCAGACAAAGAGGCACCTGATACCCCAGAAAGAGACTCTGTTAAAATGTTAAAATGCATTTAAATAAAAACATTGCCTGTTTCACATTGCAAACTTCTTCAGACTCAATTTGTTTGCTAATACAGCAAACTCTTTGTTTTACTAGCTCTAGTAGCAACACTACTAATATAGACGTACAATACTTGCCATTTCTCTGGTTCTTTCTCTGCTTTAGACACATCAACAGCCTGTTAAAATAAAAAGTCAGTGACTGTAGCTTATCAATTTTTAAATAATTACTGAACAGATACATAACCTACTAGCTTTATCATCCTATCACACTACCATTGTAACCATGATCAAGAAGGTTACATTGGAGAAACACAATTAAATTGTTTGTAATAAAGTTACATTACTTACTTTAGTGGTAATGCAAACTACAGTAAATCTACCCCTGAGTGACAAGATGATATGGGGGAAGATATATACTCTCCTTGTAAAACTTTTCAAGGAAATTTCATGGCTATGCATGGGAACAAACAGGTATGTTCTATCTAAAATCTTAGGAAAAGACATTTATAATAAATAAGAAACCAGGTTCCAATAATACTAAACAGACATTAAAGGTCTTTTGCCTTTTTTTAAGAAGATTTTTTTATGTATGATTGAAGTTTATACAACACTCCAGAAAAGCCATCATGTGTTAGATTGAAAATAAAAATCAGAAGCATTTTCTGTCATATAGATATACATGAAAAAACGGGAACGTTAATGTCTTAGAAAGTGTATGTCCAGCTTTGTACCGTTACTCATTTAACAAAGCAGAAAGTAAGATACTATACTGTAAACAAAAAGCTACAGTAAAAGGACATTTTGAAATTTACACAAGTTCGAGTTCATAAACATTTTGGTTGCTCCATAACAGTTTTTATATAAAATTAATAAAAAACCCTTGGACAGCTTTCATCACTGGTGACGACTTTTCACTTAAATGCACACAGACATACTTTATATAGCAATAATACTGATGTACTGTAACATGGATATTAAACTATGATTACTGCTTTTTAACTGAGATGTGTACTATCCAATCAATATTATCTGCAGTTGAAATACTCATACATTATGTATTCCCATCATGTTGTTAAGTATAAAAACATGAAAATATAACTTTACATTATTTCAGTTATATACATCAGTTCAGGCTTGACAAAGATTTTCTTTACGCTATGATTTTTAGAGGAATAAGCCCAGAGATACAATAAATAGCTTTCCACTGCATACAATAATGCAATTCTACTTTTTAAAAAAGTTTAATTACCATATGAATATTATTTTAGTTTGGTCATTCTAGCATTGAACATTAAAAACCAGAATGCATCCCCCAACATTCCCGATGAGGAGTAATGCACAGAACACCTATGGATTACAGATGTGTCAAGAAATGGTTCAGTTTAATTAGGGGTAATTTGCTTCTCAGTGTGATGATGGAAACACTGTATACACCTCTTTTGCTCACTGCACTGAGAGTATATATACACTGTGTTCATATGCCTGCAGAAACAGGCTCAGAGCCTAAGCCTAAGAAATGGATTCCAACTAAAACTGCAAGTCAAGTCATCTTTCAAATTTTAGTCTTAAATAAAATAGATTTACTGATACTGCATGAGGCGTTGTGTCCACAATGCAGAAAAGTGCAAGCTTTTCTACCAAATGTATGGAATTTTATCTACAGGGAAAGCTAGAGAAACATGATGTTGCTTTGATTTGCACTAGCATTTCAATTAATGTTATTGCACCCCTCCTAGGATTCCTTTTTGCTTTGTAAGTAGAGTTATCATTTTTAAATACACATAATTAAAATGTATGGTAACTTCAGATAACAAAGAATATTCATAATGATTAAGAGTCAGGAAGGTTTTTATATTTTCATCAGTACAGACTTCCATCTAATTTGAGTTATTATCAATCTTAATTCAAAAAGACATTGCCAAGGTTTTGGTTTTGTTTTCGTAACAAGGAACTTTACTAGCTACTGCTTAGAATCACCTTTTAACAGTTTGAAAACTGCTTCCTTAAAGGAACAATTTGAGAACTGCATTTGTTTCATACTTTAAAAAAATATTTAATGCTTTTACTGCTTGCTGTTTTTTACCAATAGTTTTTCTCTGTGTACATTTATTTATGAATGCAATTGTACAAAAGCAGAGACATATTTGAACCAAATCTTTGGATCGTGATTCCCTGCACATCAGAGTTATGAGGAGCTCTACAGCAGCACCTATCTGACTCCTCAGTTGCTGGTATCAAGTACCACTCCAACCCAGAACAACCTCAATCTTCAGAGTTCAAAATGCGTATCTGAGCATCACAGCTTGGGCTTGTCTGTAGAAAAAACTGTTGAACAGATTCAAGCAAGCTGGGGGTGGCAACACTGCCAAAAACTAAAACACTGACCCAACCTTGACAGTGCCCTTTTAGATTTCAGACTCTTTATAACCCAACTGTAGCTAGTAAAATTAATGGAACACTTGCAAATAAAACCATAGAAAAAAGTTTATTTCAAATGTCAAGCATTGCCAAGTAATTTTATATTAACACCAAATGTTAAAGAATAGGATATACAGCAAAGTTTTAATAACAATATTAAATTACAAGAGTTGAACCTTTTAATTATTATTTCTTCTCTTCTCAACATTACATATTTGGCTTTGAAAAATATGGAACTGATGCCTTAAGCCTTATTTTCACGTTCCACTTCCCCACAGTCTAGATTTCTTTTTTCTTTTTTTAATCTTC